TTTTTTTTTTCATTTATTGCAGTTAAATGTCAGAGAAGCAATTCTGGACAAGAGGATGTCTAGTTATATACTGACAAATTGAATATATGACGCTATTCGATTATTTTAAGCAGATGCGATAGAAGAACTTCCCAAATAAAACAGCTCATCTCTTTTTCCAGCCAGCTTTCAATTTTCCAGGAGTGATTTAACTGGACTGCCTTTGTTTGAATGCAACAGATTTAGTTGTACACACTTCTGTGTTTCAACATCAGTACATAGAAAAACATTTTTCATGCACACTAATGAATGGAACTTCTCTTGTATCCATTTCGAATTTTAAAAATGAAGCTAAACTCAAACTGTCTAATTGACTGTGCTCAATGATGTTTTTGGAATATCAGACACATTTTTTCAATCAGACAAATATCTCTGCAGCTTGTTGATTTCATCTGAGCTCCCGATGAATATTGGTGTACGCTGGTGAATCTGCAAAAGCCGAAAAAACATAGGATTTTTCGAAGTTCGAACCAGGTAATAATACAATGTGTTTGCTTCATTCATGGCCGCTCTGTTAACTTTGTTTAACTTTGTTAAAAATTTAGTTACTTTCATCTTATTATATGTTGTTTTACCTGGCTAGGAATAATGTCTAGTATTCTTCGGTGCCCGTCAATGGCTTTTCCCCCAGCTTGCTCCACTAAATAGCTCATCGGTGCACATTCGTACAAAAGCCTTAAATTCCCATTCTTGCTATTTTTGTTGTCTGGATTTCCATATATGCCCCCAACCAGCAACATCCTATGAATCTCTCCAACAAGGCAGCCTATGTAGCGGCCCGAATATGGCTTTCCATCGGGCCCTGGCTTTGTCAGCTCATCCAGATATTTCTGCAGCTTCTCGTCAAACAACTCGTAATTACCTTCGTTGAACGAGTAGATTCTTCTGGAACTAGGAATCTTGATGTTCTCGTGCGTAAGCACGAATTCTCCGTAGGCAGGGTCCAGGGTAAATGCATGTACCCCTCTCCCTATCTAGAGCGTGAAAACTACCGAGCTTGAGTATAAGCAGTAGCCTGCAGCTAGTAGGTTGCTCCCCGGCTGGCAAACACTGATTATGCACTTCTCTTCTGCTTTGTTCAGCTTTTTTTCCCGACCCGAATAAGATAGATAGCAGATTAAAAAAAAAAAAAACACATGTGAAGGAGAATGTATTGATCATTATGTATGTTGAACAGTAAAATTACAGTGGACTCATCGTCTATGTCGAATAGGCACTGCTTTTCCGGGCCGTAGATTCCAAAAATCGAGCCTGTTGTCAGGCTAGTGTCGATATTTGCCGAGCCATCAATCGGGTCGAAAACGACAATGTAGTTACCGGAAAAAGTCTCCTCGACTGCAACCGGGACTTCCTCTTCCTCCGAAGCTATAATACCCGTTCGGCCACTTGACCTCAGACAACCACAAAACAGCTGCTCAAGAAGTTGTAACACAAAAAATAATAATAATAATAAAATAAAAAAAATAAAGAACTTGGACAAAAATGATAAAACCTCGTTAGCAATGACGTCGAGCTTCTTCTGATCTTCGCCTTGGATGTTAATGGTGCCCTGGGCCCCGGTTAGGTTGATTATGCTGGACCGTTGGAGAAGACAGGCTATCTGCTTGCAGGCTAGTGAGATGCTGGATAAGACAATTGTGAGCTCGGCATCTATGTGGCCCGAGCTCTCTTGCTTTAGGAGCCATGTGGTGAGGTTCTCGATTTCGTATTGGCTCTTTTTCTTGGTTCGTGGCTCGGCTTCAGGTTTGAGGGCTGCGGTTTCGATTTCGATGGCTTTACAAATTGTTCTGGGTTGGGAGTTGCTGGTGGTGGCCGGAATTGTACGGCTGCTGCTGGAGTTCAGTTGGTGGTGGTGGTTGTTTCTGGGGAGAGAGGCTGACCGGAGATTGTTCCACCGGAAAGTGTGAACTGCTTCAGCCATTCTCTCGGTGTGTGTACTCTGTGTGTGTGTGTGTTGAGTTTGTGAAATTGTGATTGATGATTGGACCTTCACCTGCTTATCTTCTTTCAAGTGCCAATTGTGTGAACCTGATTCATGAGAGGTGAAATCTACTTAGTGTCCTGAAAGAGATGACCTATAAGTTTTAAACAAAGGTACTATTGTGATTTTGTGGTCCTTTAGGGATCTACATCGAGCTGAGCTCGAGCTCCTCATATTCGAGCTTGGTAAACTAGCTTGAACTCGACTTTTTTTTTTTTTATCTATATTAGCAAGCCAGACTTGGAGTTTTAACAAGCCAAACAATAGATTATCACTATTTTCAAACTTGTTAGCCTTAACTGACCGAGTTTAGCTCGACTTGTTAACTAAATGAGTTTTAAATCCGCTTAAGATCAATTCGTTTATCAAACGAGCTAACTCGAGCTCGTGAGCAGCTAATAGATGGATTCTTACTTCAAACATGTTTTAAAGAAAATATACTACACACTTTGGCCAAGAAAGTTTGTACCATGGTCTACTTATCTATCTGAAGTAGCCAACAAATATCAGGTCCTAATTTTTTCACAAGATTTCAGTTTGAAGATAAGAAAGAAGTAAAGCTGTTCTCTTGATTCTCCAACTTTTTTTACAGAAATCGAAAATAAAAAATTCCATTTTTCAAAAGAACAATCAACCCCACAGATTGTTTCTAATCCATCAAAATCGAGACCTTAATTACATTTCAACATTCCTCATTCAAGCTAAGTATTTCTCCAACTTCTCCACCTCCTCCATGCTCCCAATGTACAACGGTACCCGTTGATGTATCTGCATGAACCACAAAAACACACACACACACACAACGTAAGATCACGCGAACCCGAAAAAATCCCATATCCCACAATGATTTTTTTTTTTCTTTTTATAGATTTAAAAGACGAAGAAAATTAACCTCCGTTGGCTGAATATCGAGAATCCTTTGATACCCATCCGACCCTTTCCCGCCCGCTTGCTCCACAATAAAGCTCATAGGCGCACACTCGTACAAGAGCCTCAATTTACCATTCTTGCTCTTTTTGTCTCTCGGGTAACCGTAAATTCCTCCGTACAATAAAGTCCGGTGAAAATCTCCGACCAAACTGCCGATGTAGCGGGCTGAATAAGGCTTCCCGGTGGGGCCCGGGTCCTTGAGGTCATCTATGTACTTCTTTAGCTTGTCGTCCCACAGCTGATAGTTTCCCTCGTTGAAAGCGTAAATCTTTCCCGATTTGGGTATTTGGATTTTCTCTTGTGTGAGGACAAATTCGCCGAACATTGGGTCGAGTGTGAAGGCATACACACCTTTACCGAGCGTGATCACGAATATTACGGAGCTTGAGTACATGCAGTACCCTGCAGCAAGCAAGTTGTCGCCAGGCTGGCAAACGTTCACGACGCACCTTTGTTCCGTGGTGCCGAGCTGCAAGAATAGAGAAATTCGATTTTTTTTTTTTTTTTTTTTTTTTTAGGATTTGGTGAGATTGTTGAAATTCAAGAAATGATTTTAGAAGGGAGACTTGGAATTTTAATTACTACATAATCATTTTATATACATTCACACTTCACGAACTTTCTCACTACAAAAAAACACTTTCCATTCACAAAGTATTCATCTTCAGCAAACAAACACAACTTCTGATATAAATAATTTCATGTAAACCATAGAAGTATACACACACACACACACACAAATACACATGTGTCCATCAGATGAACATCAAAGGAGTGCTTGTTTACAAAATATTATTCACATTTAATCCATACTCAAAATATAACTCAACTTTAACTCAATCCAACTATCCTTAATATTATTCATATAATTAAATAATACAAACCAATCATTCTTACACATTATGTTGACTTTAATTCACTATTAATCCACTCAAATAGTTTTAACTAACCAGTACTTCACATCATCTCTTTCCTACTTTTACATCAAGTCAACTTTAACATTTTAATATAAACTCAAAATCTCACTAACTAACGATACTACGATTTTCAAAATTAGCTATAATTAACCAAAAAAAACTCGTTTTGAGCACATTAATTTTGTAAACAATTTGTAAAGAAGCACGCCCTAAAATTGAAAAATGAAAGAAAAAAATGAGTGCAGGTAATTCACCGTTTCATCATCCCCAACGTCAGCAAGGCACTCATCGTTCGGACTGTATATCCCGAATATCGAGCCAGTTGAGACAGCAGCATCTATATTGGACGATCCATCGAGAGGATCGAACACGACAATGTAGTTTCCGGAATAACTCTCCTCCACAGCCACCGGAACATCCTCCTCCTCCGAGGCTATGATCCCTGTCCTCCCGCTCGATTTCAGGCAGTTTGAGAAAACCTATAAAAAAACATTATCTCGAAACCCGTCAGAACACAACACTCTCTTGTCGTACGAGCTAACATTTGTCACAAAGAGGTATAAAACTATAAATACTACATACAAGACACAACCTAAAAGCCACAATAGCTTCTCTATCAAATAGGTTACTCAACATTCTTGCATATTCTCAGACCTTATAAGCAGCAAAAAGGTTGAAGCTTTTCCCAATAGAACACTCATTCCCAAGCTAAGTCATAAATTAACCAAACACTGAGCTTCAATACTCAAATCTATTCACAACCCCATCAAACAAATGCAAAAAAGTTCAATCTTTTTCCACTAAAACACCCATTTCAAAGCCAAATTATAAAATAACCAAACACTGAGCTTCAATACTCAAATCTATTCACAACCCCATCAAATAAATGCAAAAAAGGTTCAATCTTTTTCCCATTAAATACACCCATTTCAAAGCCAAACCAAACAATAACCAAACACTGAGCTTCAATACTCAAATTCATTCATAATCCCATCAGAAAAGTTCCTACAAAACAACACATCCTCATCAACTATCCCCAAAATTACAGACGAATTTTCACCAAACAAAAACAAACCTCGTTGGACACGACGTCGAGCTTCTTCTGATCCTCTCCCTGCACATTTACCGCGCCCTGAACTCCGGTGAGGTTAGAAATCCCGGCCCTCTGAACGAGAGAGGCTATCTGCTTGCAGGCCATGGAGATGCTCGAGATGACTATGGTAAGCTCGGCGTCGATGGCGCCCGATTGCTCCTGCTTCAGCAGCCAGTTGGTCAGCGTCTGGATTTCGTACCCGCTCCTCTTCTTTGTCTTCTCCCCCTCCGCCACCGCCATGCACCGGACGCGGACGTTTCCGGCCGCCGAGGCGGGGCGCCTCTTCCCGGCGGCTCCGGAGACGGCGGACGGGCTGAGGCGGCTCGGGCGCGAGATGGGTCGGGAGGTGGAGAAGAGGAGGCGGTGGGATGCCGTAGTTGTGGCCGTAGCGGTGGCTGTGGCGGTAGCCATTTTTTGTTTTTTTCCTAAAAAAAGATGAAAAAAAATCTGATCTTTTTCTTGGGCTCGACCTTGTATTAATTTTCGTACTGTTCGGATTTGAGAGGCTGGTGGTGGCTTACGTGTCAGTTTGAGTGGGACCCACTTATCTCCGTCTCCGTCAGGTCCGAGTTGAAACCGGTTTCTGAAGAATCCGAATCGGAGGAACAACGGGCCTATTTGTTTGGGCCCAAATATAAAATTAAGGTTGAGACAATGGGGCCCAATAATAAAGTTGCGCCTCACCCAACGTCACTTGATTATTTGTAGCTTTTGTGGCATGTTGGATCAACTAATCTTTGTTTTTTAAATTATAGCAATAATATAATGTAAGGGAGATGATACAGTCTTGTTACGGAATCATTTCGTCAGAGGTCTCTAACCGTTAGATCAACTATCCCGACGGTTACATGATGATCCAACGGTTACAAAGTCTAACGGAATGATTTCGTGATGAGACGTAATATTTTACTATAAGGTAAGTTCAAAATGAAATAAAATGTATCTTGGGTCAATTGAAATAAGCACAACTTGGCAATGATCGTGAGCCCAAGCTGAATAAATAAATGCAAAACGAAAGAGTCAAACTGTACTCACAGGGTTAAGTTTTAGCAACAATTTTTTCGCACCAACACACCCTATGTGGTCTAATCAAGATGACTAGTCAGCCTATCGATCACACCAAACGCACAACTCAATAACAAAGACTCATAATAGTGTTTCATGCACAGCAATAGCAAGCAACGCACACAAATGCATAAGTAAATAACAAGGCAACAAGATTTACAGGCTCCACGTCCAACCAACACTTTTATCCAGTATTCTAGAACTCGTTAGGCGCTCGACCAGCACCTAACGTATAGAGCGCATAGTCGGGGCTTACGCGGTAGAAATCAAGATAAGTACCTTAATTTTTTATTTACTTTCACTGTCTGCAAATAAAGTTATCTCAACTTAATCAACACATCTAAATCCAAATAATAATATTAAGAAACATGACAAAATAATATAATTAGTATTTAAAAAAAATAAAAAAATAAAAAATTTCCGCTGAGCCCGCCTTGGAGCCGGACAACCACCAGGCTACCGAGCAAGCCAAGCCTGTCTAGGAGTGCCTAGGCTACCCTATCCGCCTGGCAGATTTTGTCAGTCGATTTATGCAAATTGGAGGCGACCGAACTACTTCTAGCGCCTAGGCGCCGCCTAGGCCGATTTTTATCATTATCATGGAAAAATCACCGAGGCTTGCAACTCACGTGATATCGCTCATTATCCGTGTTCGTGCAACTCATGGCCTATATAGGTCTGTAGGCACTGCGGTTGACATCCCCAACCACTAGGACAAAGATAACCGTCGGGCAGCTTCACAACTGCCTTTATCCAAAGCTAATTCAGCGACAACCGTTCACCCAACGATCCGAACGCATGGGTCTTTAAGCAGCGCGTACTGCGTGTCCCTTGTAATCGATCTGTACACTTGTCGCCCGTTTGATCCCACCCAGCCATGCACTCTCGAAGGATATACCGCCTAGGTCACATGGGACGTAGTAACCAACCAGTCCACGTGCAACCCACATGCTCTTTCGAAATCCAAATCGTTCCATCCAACAGCTTGGACACGGTGCCAAGACTCGTGAGCGCCCATCGACATGCACCGCCTTGAACCCGCATAGCTCCGAATCGACTTAAGTCTGCCTTTCGATCCGACGGATGCGTAAGACACTACATGCCTCACGACTTCATTGTCAACCAGCCCAACGTGCGTGCAAAGGCGCCGTAACGCCTTGCACCTTAGCCCACATGTCTTTGCATGGCCATGCACAACCTGCAAAGACCCGACTAATCCCCATGCTTAGTCCAAGAACACACCAACACGGCCTTGCACTTAGCATCCTCGCGAAGCTAGCCTGGTACATTGCCCTCGTTGATGTACTCCTTCCCTTATCCAACACCGCGCACTAGTGCTCGGTCTCTCGACCCTTAGCACACATAAGGGGATGCGCCAGGGTCCATCTTATACCAAGGTCCGTAACACAAACCTAAAAACAAACAAAATACAACTAAAGAAAACAATAATACAAACTAAAGTAAATAAATTCATACCAATCGATATGGAATATTTTTTAGATAATTTCTTTTACTTATACATTTATATATTTTTAGGAGATATGAACCTAGAGTTCTAGCAAGAAATAAAAGATATACATGTATCTTTTAAAATTTATGTACTTAACCAAATTAAATTGAATCTCTCCAAAATCTCTAGCTTGAAAATCGGCTCATTCCTACCAAAGGAAAAGGAGATTGAGGCCACAAAAAAGGACAACTGAACACTAGTTTCTTGGGTCTAAACGAAAATAATTAATTGGGGATTTTGTCTACTGAACTATTCCAAATTTCCAATTGGAGGTTGACCTGTTACATCACACATGTATTTGTCAACTCATATGTGAATTGAGAATGTAGAAATTATGCACGTAGACTAACTAATAATTTAATATCTTTCTAGTTTCCCGCCGACGAGGAAATGTCAAATTCAGAAAGTAGATTGTATTTACTTAACATTGTTCGTTGATTGAACATTTTAGAACATGTAATATGTGGAATATTCTATTGATTTGCTCGAACAAATCGACCATCATAACCTCGGGTCTAGAATGCTAGCCTCGAATTACAAATTGAGTAAATTTATAAACATCGGATATGCAGTGTGCATTTATTGCAGGACACGTGTCAATATATCATTTGGTCGAGTCACCCGATAACTTCATAGCAAAACTCCGAAAAACCATTCATAATCAAAGTAATATAACATGACCAAGTCAAGGGCAGGTAGAAGTTTCCAAAACGTCGGAAAATTCAGACGTGCAAACCTCTCAAACACGTCTATAATGGGTTGGCATCAATATGAAATTTTGAAAAACCAAACACCAAAATCTAAATTAAATAAAATATAATAAAATCACATCATATTCCCACATAATAATATGCTAAATAATCAACACCATACAATAAAAATTAATTAACGCGTGAGGTCCAATCAGGCACGTCCATCGACCCTCGACCTTCCCGAAAATTAGTTGTTAGTCACTTTTTTCATTTTCGAAAATTGTTCAAACTTTAACCCCACATTAATTAATTTAATTCATATTTTGTGATGCGTTGTTTTAGTTTGTACCCTGCATTTTTTAATTTGATTGAAAAACTTGTATCTTCATATAAAAAATAACGGGTTGAACATGTTACCATCTTACATCCGACTGACGGGTTTGGTTTGCAAAACTCGAAAGTTCGTGACTTTTATTAAGAAATTCGAGTTTTGCGATTTTCATGTCAAATAACGAGCTGAACATAGGTGATAATGTGATGTTCGGTTTGTTGATCACATGCTTTGATTCGAAAATCTTGAAAGTTCATTACTTTTATTGGCAAAATCGAAAGATTTTTGAGATTTTCATGTCATATAACGAGTCGAAACACATAGCCATCCAATGCACGATTTGTTGGCTGTGTGATTTGATTCGAAAAACTCGAAAATTCGTGAATTCTGTTGACAAAACTAAAGGATCGAGATATTTACGTCAGTAACAAGTCTTGACACATAATCGTGTAAATAATCAATGTTAGAATATCACTTCCGAAAGCCATATGAAGCCCAAGTGGTGTTCCATCTCAAAACCAATTAGTGGAAAGAAGAGTAGTCCATTAGACTTATAAAGTGGGTCTATTTTCTATGTATGAACGATGTGAGACAACTCACAAGTGATATTCTAACACGTCCCTCACTTGTGAGTCCTTCGGAAGCCCAAGCCCAACTGGGTTGGGTGCCCCAAGCCTACTAGAAGCAAACTCCCATAAACGGGTACGTGGGGAAGCAGACTTCCATAAACGAGTACGTCATCGCACGGTCCCAATAGAACCGGCTCTGATACCATGTAAGAAACTGGGGGAAAACGGGTGCGCGCGGTCCCAAGTGAAGTTCCATCCCAAAACCAATTTGTGGAAGGAGTAGCCCATTAGACTTATAAGGTAGGTCTATTTTCCATGTATGAACGATGTGGGACAACTCAAAAGAGATATTCTAACACGTCCCCTCACTTGTGAGTCATTCGGAAGCCCAAGCTCAACTGGGTTGGGTGCCCCAAGCCTACTAGAAGCAGACTCCCATAAATGGGTACGTGGGGAAGGAGACTCCCATAAACAGGTACGTCATCGCACGGTCCCAATAGAACCGACTCTGATACCATGTAAGAAACTGGGGGACAAACGGGTGCGGTCCCACTAACATGAAGCGCACCATAAGCGGGGAAAACCCATATGAAGCCCAAGTGGAGTTCCATCCCAAAACCAATTGGTGGAAAGAGGAGTAACCCATTACTTATAAAGTGGGTCTATTTCTATGTATGAACAATGTGAGATAACTCACAAGCGATATTATAACAATCAATTTGCTAACTTTCTCCATTGAAAAAATTGAAATATTGTGATCTTTATGTCGGGCAATAAACCAAACAAATAATTATCTCGTGTATAATTTGCTGACTACATGCTTTGATTCGTAAAACTCAAAAGTTCGTTACTCGCATTGGATATCAACTAAAAGGCCAGATAACAAGCCGAACACACAATCATCTTAACTAGGGCAACACACGAACCTAGCGGCTCGCAATTGCGCTCGAGTCAAAGCTCGGCTCGAGCTTGAGTTTGACCGAACTCGATCCAAAATCTGCATTGTCGAGCGGCTCGAGATATATGTTAAATTACTAAAATATTCTATGTATATATATACATACATGTATCATAATATTAATATGTACTTAATGATAATTTTACAAAATTGCTTGAAAAGTTTTAAACCGGACGACTGCTCGAGTCGGCTTGACTCGTTTGCATCGCTAATCTAAGCGCATCAATTTGAAAACTCTAAAATTTCAAACTTTTATTGACAATTTTTTTTTTAAAAAAAAAAAAATTCCGGATTAATTTGCATCAATTACCCAACAAACCAAAAAAAATTACAATTTAGTCCAACTTCACTCTAAATTCCAAATTCCACACCATACTCTCTCTATATATATATAGAACTGGCCAACCTGCAATTCGTATCTAACCCATTTTTCTCTTCTCCTCCACAAAATCAGGCAACCAAAAACCCCAAATCATACCCCCAAAAAAAGAAAAAGAAAAAACAGAGCAAAAACCTAACATACAAATCGAGATTTAACAATGGCTTCCTCTGCAAAGATGCCATTAATACTCATCCTCGCCTGCTTCCTCTTCCTCCGAGGAGCCATGGGTACGCCCCCAATTTAATCAATTATGCTTTTTTTTTTTTTTTTTTTTTTTACAAATTTATTGCAATTTTATCCAATTTTTGAATTTTTTATCGGAAACTGTTTGCAGCGGACCTGATCTGCGAGAGCTTACCGGCGAACCTGTGCTCGTTCGCGGTCTCTTCTTCCGGCAAGAGGTGCGCCCTGGAGAACCGCGTGAGGGAGGAAGGGAGCGTGGACTACACGTGCACGACGTCGGAGGTGGTAGTGGAGAGTATGCCAGGGTACGTCGAGACCGACGCGTGCGTGGCCGCTTGCGGCGTCGACCGCCAGGTCGTCGGGATCTCGTCCGACGCGTTTCTCTCCGACGGATTCACGGCGCGGCTATGCTCGCCGGAATGCTATCGGAGCTGCCCAAATATTGTCGACTTGTATTTCAACCTCGCCGCCGGCGAAGGTAACATTATTTTTTACTTAATTTTCTGCTTTTTTTTTATTCGGTTTAGTAAAAGTAAGTTACAAAAATCTGTTAGTTACACTTCCTTTCCGGTGATATTGCCACGTGGATTTGACCATATTTTTTTCAATTATATATGAATAATAAAATGGATACCAAATGACATTAGACCGTGATATATTTTCTATTAAAAGAAATTAAATCTGATTTTAAAATTTTATACAAAAGCAACATAAACATAAAAAATAAAACATTGGCTATGTATATTTTGCATTTTATTTTATATATATTAATATTATGTAAATTGTGCGTGTAGGCGTCTATTTGCCGACTCTATGTGAGAAGCAAAAGTCAAACCCCCGCCGTGCCATGTCAGAGCTTTTTATCAGCAGCGGCGGCGTAGCCGCCGCAGGTCCGGCGGGCCAGCCCAATTTCGCTGTTGAAGATGCACTTGCTCCGGCGCCAGCTGTCCACTAATTTTCTTGTCTATTATTATTATTATGATATGTCTGAATTTTTATGCTCGAAATTCTTTTGAGGCACACTTGATGAGATTCATTTATTTAAAGAATTTGATTATTGAGGAGAATGGAGAATTTTATTGCTCATTTGTTTTGTATGGGGATTTCATCATTTGATATTTATATGATGGCATTTTATATAATATATATGTTGTATTATGTTTATATTAGCGTTATTTTTATTTGTTATTGATTATGAATTTATAATCTTAATCTGCTCTACGGATCATTAAAGTTTAAGAAAAAATTTGATAGTTATATTTTATCAAAATAAATAAATTTAGAAAGACTTTGCAATCGATTTTGGTCAAACAAAGAACATTTCTTAACGTTTGACTATTCCAAGTTTGACCAGCTATGATTAATTAGCTTTTGTCTATAAGACCAAGAAATTATTAATGAAATCCAACAATTATAGTATTTTTCTTTTGTTTGAGAAATTACCGCCTGTAATGCACGAGTGACTTTTATTAAGATTCACTTATCATCATAACTATTCAGATGTTGGAATAGTTAAATTAATCCAACATAATTAAAGTGAATTCCTATAAATTAATTCATTTACTTTCCATTAGAATTTCATGGAAAATTTTAAATGAATTGTATAGCATTAGAACATCAATTGTAATTTTATAGGGGTGGGATTTTATACCCGAGAACTGTAGAACCGAACCGGACCGAATCGAAAATAACCGGTTCGGTCTGGTTATTTAAAAAATAAAAACTATTTTTTCGGTTTCTGGTTATTTTTTGCTTGTTTTGGTTCCCGTTCCCGGTTCCTTTCCAAGTGTATGCGTATTAACCGATGAACCGATTATATATGCATGTTTTATATGTTTATATGTATGAATCGATTCAGGTTCTTGTACTTAATATTCGATTCTTCATTTTTGCATTTGGTTCTTGATTTTTCATGATATTTTTAGTCCGTGAGTTGCATATTTTTGACCGGTTCTTAACTTAAAACCGGTTATTGTCGGTTATTTTTTATTATTCAGTTACCCGAATAACCGGAAAAACTGAACAGTTATAAACCGATTCGGTTCTTTTTCAGTTACTGCAATTATTTATGTGTCAATTGAACCCTCCAGTTCCTTAAAAAAGTGATAAGAATCCGACCGGTCCCAGGCCTATAATTTCCCAATATATAGAATACGAGAGATGAAATATTCATAAATGATCAAAAGCCTCTTTATATGCCCATTTAAAAGCCAAAAATTTCCCTTTATTCAAACAATATATTACAAGGGATCGTTATGAATAGCATTAATCAAAACCAAAGCCATACATACCATATAAAACGATCAAATAAGAACAAAATGCAAAACAACAAAAAGAAATCAAATTTCTCAAAATCCAACAATATACATATGCATTTTTGCAGCATGACTATTTTAGCATTTGGGAAAATCCGGCGGCGGTGCCGGCAGCCTAGTCTCCGGAGTCGGCCCATTCTCCACCACGAAAGCCATCGCTAAACCAGACGGCAAGTGTTCGTCAAAATGACAATGCACCAACCACACACCTGCAAATTTAGTTATGTTATTTCACTATATAATCACAACGAAAATAATTATCGACGAATATTTTCTCAAAAGTTTACCTGGATTATTTGCTCGGAATCTAATAACGGCCCATCCTCCCGCCGGGACGGCTATGGTGTTACGTTCTTGCGGGTTATGGAAATTGAACTTCTTACGATCAACATTGGCATTATAATTTCCAAATCCTTGAGCCAACACATAGAAATTGAACCCATGCAAGTGCATAGGGTGATTCTCGATTCCGAGGAGAGCCGTGTTTTGCAACACCATCTCGACCGCTGAATTAAATCTCACTTTCTTCACCTTTGTCGATTTAGTCGTCATCAAAAGCGCGATGTTGTTGGTGTTGTTCGCGTTCGTGTAGTCGAATTCCAACGGTGGAATGTCCGGGAAGTCCGTAGTGTACACACCACCGGTCGTGTTTTTAAAAAAAGCCTCGAGCATCGATATCTCGGTTGGAAATCGGAAAGACTCGTTGTTCATGCTAAAGGCTTGTTTAAGCCCGAATGGGCCTTGGCAAGTTGCATTACCGGGCAAGTCGCAAGGTGTAAGGCCCGCGCCCACGGTCACAAACATATGCTCGTCGACCATGAGGGGAACTGGGACCCAGAATGGGCCAGTCGGAAGCCCGGTTAAGTCGGTGAAAAATTTATGGGCCGTGGGCGTGTCGTTGAAGGCTGGAAGGACGGGCATGACGGGCCTCGATGATTTTGATGATCCCTCGTAGACTATGATTCCGGTTGTTGTGCCGTTGTTGAACGTGCCTCCGTCAACCGCGCTTATGTAGGGACGAGCCGCCATGTAGTAACGGGCTGGGCTTTGGTCGGCTCTGAGGAGGACGTCGGTTGTTTGGCCCGGAGCCACCACGACGAGGTCGGTCGTGTATTTGGTGGTGTAGGAGGCGTCGACACCCACGACAGTCATTTTGTGACTCGCGATCTTGAAAAACAGGTGGTTGTTCAATGCAGCGTTGACTATTCGGAGGAGATAGGTTTTTCCTCGAATCACTTGTAAGTTGAATGTATCTAGAAAATTTTCAAGAAAACTACCAAGTTTGTAATCGATGTGAGTGAATATGTAACTAAAAATTACGATAATTTTAACACGTGATTCATAGGGTTATAGACGAGTCGAGACCAACTTAGCTCGTTAATTAAATTAACGAGCCAAAAATCGAACTCGATCGAGCTCGGCTTGTTTATGAATATTAACGGGTCGAGTTGGAGCTGAATCTCGAGTCTTATCAAGTCGAGTCGAACTCGACTTGTTAGCGTAATGAACTTTAAAACAAGGTCGAAATCAACTCATTTATAATAAATCGAACTGAATTCAAACTTTCATTAATCGAACCGAGCTTACAAGCGGCTCACTACGTTTAATAGCGCTAATAATTGGTGTGACACTTACTATTCGAAGAGCATGCGTAGAGGTCTCCGGGTTGACCGTTGACCGTGAAAGCATCTGAAATATTAGGTGTGCCACCTGTGGCTAAGGCTTGGTTCTCCACGTCAATAATATTAGAATTCCACCATTCCCCTAACAAAAAAAAATAAAAATAATAATAATAATAAAAAAAAAAATAAAATAAAAATCTTTTTAAATTATTAAATATGTATATATTGCAGTGTTTAGATATATCTTTTTTTCAATATTTCAAGTTACTAGATTACATGCATTCGAACAATTCGGGCCACTGTAATATCATCACCCAGTTAATTTCCTTATTTATAGAATGTTTATATATTATTTTGAAATGTCAAGTAGTAAAAGATGCCACAATTAATTGTGTAGTGTTAGTGCTTTACTTCTTTAAACAAGTTGAGTTGAGTTCGAACTTTTTAATACTCGAGCAAGTTTCTAGTCTAGCTTCTTAGCTAAACGAGCTCGAACTCGAACTCGACTCGTATATCAAAATATACGAATCGAATTCGAATCTTAACGAGACAAGCCATGTCACGAATTCAATAAATTATATAAAAACCCAATTTCTCATGTCTAACGAGCCTTAATTAAACGAACTCGAACTTTGACAAACATGGCAAAACTCACGAGCAGATCGTTTCGTTTAACAGCTTACCAAGAACGATTGGAATTTCTCCATCGGGTTTTGGGAATGGGTAGGATCTTCCGGACTTGGGTCGGATGATTATGGCTCCATAAACCGTAGCCCGAAGCCATTGACTGTGTGCATGCCACCAAAGAGTTCCCTCTTGTCGGGTTATGGTGAATTTGTACGTGTAGCTAAGTCCGGGCCGGATCGGACATTGGGTTGCATACTCCGGCCCGTCGGCCCACCCACTCATAAGTTGAAATACTCCATGCCTGAAATCAATTACAATTATACAGGTTTGTTGACTCAATAATAATAATAATAATAATAATAATAATAATAATAATAATAATAATAATAATAATAATAATAATAATAATAATAATAATAATAATAATGTACCAATGAATGGTTATGTTGTAAGGCGACTTATTTAAAACGTGGACAATAAGGGTATCGCCCTCGTAAACTTCAATAATTGGGCCTGGAAGACTGTTATTCACCGCCGTAATTACTTGATCTCTACAAAGTCGATTAACCCTAAAATTTTGCACCTGTAATTATATAAAAAAAAAAAAACACTTATATTATTAATAATAATCCCATGTTTTCACAATATATAAGTCCTATTTTCTATGACCATTTTCATGAGAATGATGATGGAAATAATAATAATAATATAAAGATGATGATGATGATAATAAAATGGAAAATGCTACAGTCTCGTTACGGAACCATTCTGTCGGGATTTGTAACCGTTAGATCATTATGTAACCGTCATGGACAGTTAATCTAACGGTTACAAACCTCGACGGAATAGTTCTGTAACGGGACCTTAGAATCTCCCAATAAAAATAGTAATGAAAGAAATTACATGAAACGTATGCTCCACAATCTTTGCTGAAGCTATTGCTGAACAAGCCAATAGAGTAAGAGTGCACGCCATAGAGAACATTATATGGCCTGCCATAATATTTCAGTATATACTAAGATATATGAACAATTATTAAATTTAAAATTTATATATCTCAAAGTTATGAAAAGAATTAAGGATATATGCAAAGTAAAGATGAGAGTCCCTTATTTATACTATGAAATATTGGAAGGCCCCTTTGTACTTTGTCTTCTTTTTCTTTCTTTCATTTTTTTATTCAATTAAATTAATAATCTCACCTTCCCTAGTACGTGTGGTATTTGCAATTCTGTGGATTCTACTTTTTTATTTTTTATTTTTTTTAATAACTTTACTTTTGCTTGTTAAAAAAAATCATACAAACAAGTGTAATTATCCTAAAATGTGCAGAGCCCGTGCGCACAGTGTGCACAATTTTTAATTTATGTTTTATCAGGCTTATTATTATATTCATGAATAAAAAAAATGTAAACTGGTATTTTTAATTTTGAAGTAATAGTATCGATTTTTAAATAGTTTTTTTTTTCCGAAATGATAGAAATATTATAAATCAAAACGCACAACAATGCAAATACACAGCAGCCAACGGCTGAATAATCAGCAGCCAACAGCTGAAAAAGTGGGAGGACAGATCAGAACACCGCCTAAAAACCCGACTAGCAAGGCTAGAATGAACCACTCACAACTAAACTAGACAACTACACAACAACCAAACACAACTAAAACTTAAAAACAACTAAAAAGAGATTTTTAAATAGTTGACATTTGAGATTTTAAATAATAAGATTTTATATTCGAGAAATCATGTTTGACATATAATTCAAAATATGTTGCAACAACAAAAGAAAGAGATTGAAACAAAAGAGATTGCTAGCCTCCAAGCGCTCCTATCCACTGCTAACTCCTTGGAGATATTCCAATCTTTAAGGTCTCTTTTAACCGACTCTTCCCAAGTGAGTTTAGGCCGACCTCTACCCCTCTTTGCATCATCGACCCGCTGCGGTGCATCGGAAGGCCTCCGTTGGACATGTCTGAACCACCTCAGCATGTTGAACCAATTTCTCCTCAATTGGAGTCACCCCGACCCTATCTCGAATATCCTCATTCTGGATTTTATCTCTTTTGTGTGCCCGCAAAACCAACGCAACATACGCATCTCTGCTACACTTAGTTGTTGGACATGTTGGCTTTTGTAAGCCAATATTCAGCACCGTATAGTATCGCCGGGCGAATTGCCATCCTATAGAACTTATCTTTTAGCCTTTGTGGCACCCTTATCAAAGAGAACGCCCGAAGCTTGACGTCATTTCAACCAACCGGCTGCAATTCTATGCCTAACATCTTCATCAATGCCGCCATACTTTTGTAGCATCGATCCTAAATACCAGAAAGTCACCTTCTTGGCCATCACTTGCCCGTCAAGGCTAACGTCACCATCATCATGTGTAGTCATGCTGAAAGCGCAGGTCATGTACTCGGTCTTCGTCCTACTAAGTTTGAAGCCTTTCGACTCTAACGTGTCCTTCCACAGTTCTAACTTCCTATTTACCCCTGCCCTACTCTCGTCAACTAGCACCACATCATCAGCAAAGAGCATACACCAAGGGATATCACCTTGTATGTCCCTTGTGGCCTCATTCATCACCAAGGCAAATAAATAAGGGCTCAATATTGACCCCAGGTGTAGTCCTATTTTAATTGAGAAGTCGCTGATATCGTCCCCCACATGTTCGGACACACGTCATCGCATCCTTGTACATATCCTTGATGAGGGTAAAGTACTTAGATGTGACTTTGTGCTTTTCTAAGGCTCACCACATGACATTCCTCGGTACTCTGTCATATGCCTTCTTAAGGTCGATAAAGACCATGTGCAAGTCTTTTTTTGGTCCCTATATCTCTCGATCAACTGTCGTATTAGGAAAATCGTCTCCATGGTCGACCTTCCAAGCATAAACTTAAATTGGTTTTGGGTCACACTCGTTGCAATTAGGAATAATCAAATTTCACATATAATAGATTAGAATTTTATAGTGACCAAATGAAAAGCGTAATTTCTATATTTAAATTTGAAATTCGAAATAATAAATGATTTTGTATGCATTCAGATTTTTTTCGAATAAATAACGAGAAGAAAATTTTAATTCAATAAAAACGTAAAGCTGACAAATTGTATGGCAATCAATTAAAAAATAAATAAAAACTAACAGATTTTGGGTGCATTTAACGGTTGTCCGATTTTTTTAACAAGAAATTAAAAGGCATTTTGAAAAACTGCCGAAAATAGTAAGCATTATCTAATACCACATATAGCTCGTCGCCAGACATGATCGAACCAAATTATTTTCTGAATGACACGTCTTATGTGGCAATCCACGCTCAAATAATAAACTGAAAATCATTAACACATTAACAAAATCTCACATACTTAAGATAAAATGATTAGGTGAAGCATGAACCTTCTTAATTTAATCAAGCAGTTTTGATTTGGTCATCATCCAATGAAAACTTTTCCTTAAAATGATCATTAGTAAAAGTCTGTGGCAAAAGTCGCAGGTTAATTTGTTATAAAGATTCTTTTCATTGATGTATTTTGACAATTTTGATGTTTAATCAGTTATTTTATTTCTACTTGTTTGTTATTTAATTTAGTGGTTAGCAGTTAGTGGCCTTTAATTTCACTTGTCCACGTACAACCTTCGAATTTATTTATATATCATACAATTTTTGTAATATTCATTAAAGAAAAAGTTTTGAAAACAGTTCTATAATTTTAGAGGTGCATCAAAATGATTAATTATGCTAAAATTAGATTTATAAATACTAGTCTTTTGTTCTTTTTAAATATGATCAATTCGTAGGTCGAAAAATCATAAATTCGATTGGTTATTGATGCGTACGTAGTCCATTAGAATTTCGTTGAATTTTGAATTTGCAGTTGATTTTATAATAATGGAATTTTATAATGAATGAAGTAAATTTAATAAATTACTTTAATACACTATACATACTGTTTAAATTAAATAAAAAAATAAATCCAACCATTAAAGTTGTGCATATATATAGGGCAGCAAAAATTCTATTTTACCCCTGTGACATGGTAGACTAATTAAAAAAACCTTTATTCCATTAATAGACGAATGCAATAATAATCAACAGCATACAAAATAAATAATGACATCAAATCGAAACAACAGGAGAAAATACAACAAAGCAACACAAAATACACTCCTCCAAAATTCAATATATTCTAAAGTTATTTTTCCAGCACAAACTTAATTAATTAGCATTTCGGAAAATCTGGTGGTGGTGCCGGCAGCGTAGTTGCCGGCGTTGGCCCGTTCTCCACCACGAAAGCCGTCGCTAAACCCCACGGCAAGTGCACGTCTAGATGACAATGCATCAACCACACACCTGCATAAATATTTAACATGTTAATAATCACACAATTATACAAAATTTCTACACATACACATTGTTAGTTAAATTGTGTTACACTAACATAATAGTTAACACAAATGACAATTAGATCATGTGTTTCAGATTAAAATCAACGATTCTTACACTTACACATCGTTTATTTCGAAAATTTTGTGTCAAAATAGCATTACTCCTGAAGAAAATTTACCTGGATTGTTCGCGCGGAATCTAATTACGGCCCACCCTCCGACAGGGACGGCGATTGTGTTACGTTCTTGTGGATTCTGAGTATTGTACTTTTTTCTATCGACAGCCGCATTGTAATTGCCGAACCCTTGAGCCAACACGTAGAAATTGAACCCGTGCAAATGTATAGGGTGATTTTCGATTCCGATCAGCGCCGTGTTCTGCAGAACCATCTCGACAGTCGAATTGAACTTGAGCTTCTTCACCTTAGTCGACTTTTCCGTCATCAATAGCGCTTGGTTCAACGAGTTGTTCGCGTTCGTGTAGTCGAATATCACAGGTGGATTATCGGGAAAATCCGTGGTGTACAATCCATCGACGCCCCTAAAAAAGGCCTCGAGCATCGACAACCTTTTCGAAAATTGGAAGGACTCGTTATTCATGCTAGCGGCGAATTTTTGCCCGAGCAGGCCTTGACAAGTCGCGTTCCCGGGCCTGTCGCAAGCCGAGAGGCCCAAGCCCACGGTCACGAACATTTTCTCATCGACCTGGTTCGGGACCGTGACCCAGAACGGGCTTGTGGTTAGCGCGGTTAGGTTGGTGAAAAATTTGTGGGTCGTGGGAGTATCGTTGAAGGTCGGGAGGTCAGGCATGATGGGCTGGGATGACGTGGAAGGCACATTATCGTATTCTATGATTCCGGTGGTTGTTGTGTTGTCGAAAGTGACGTTGGCCACGCTTATATAGGGATGGCCAGCCATGTAGTAGCGGGCCGAGCTTTGGTCGGCCGTGAGGAGTACATCGGTCGTCTGGCCCGGAGCCAACACGATAACGTCGGTTGTGTAGGGGTTCGTGTAGGCAGCGTCGACAGCGACGACCGTCATGTTGTGGCTGGCAATTTTGAAGAATAGTTGGTTGTTCAGCGCAGCGTTGATTATTCGGAGGAGATAAGTTTTACCGCGTACCACATTTAACTTAAATGTGCCTAAAAGTAACGAAAAATAAAACAAATGTAAAAAATGTATGTTAGTGAAAAATATTATTGTTATGTGGAAAAATTCAAATGTGGGAGATGCTACGGTCTCGTTAAGGAATTATTACGTTGGAATTTGTAATCGTTAGATCTAACTATTTTTTATGGTTATTACATGATGATCTAACGGTTACAAATCCGACAGAATAATTCCGTAATGAGACGTAACATTTTCTGAAACCGATGAATGTGTGCGAGTACGGGTGATCCTATGATTGAAGCAAAGACACTCACTAGTTGAAGGGCATGAGTAGAGGTCTCCGGGTTGACCGTTGATTGTATAAGCATCTGAAATATTGGGTGCGCCACCTGTACTTATGGCTTGGTTCTCCACGTCAACAACATTAGAATTCCACCATTCCCCTACAAAAAAAAATAATAATAATAATAATAATAAAATAAAATAGAATAAAATTATTGAATCACATTATACATGTACAAAACTCAAAATTTAAAAATTTATTGAATATATCAGTTAATTAAAATTTAAAAAATTATTAATTAAAATTTTAACACAAAAAAATAATATTTCTATTTTCTAAGTATAATTTTTTGGATTAACACCAAAATTAGGGATACAAATAAATATGTATATATGATGTTACTTACCAAGGAGGATTGGGAATTCTTTAGCGGGTTTTGGGAACGGGTAGGATCTTCCGTATCTGGGTCGGATTATTAGGGCTCCATATACAGTCGCCCGAAGCCATTGGCTGTGTGCATGCCACCAAAGAGTTCCCTCTTGTCGGGTAATGTTAAATTTGTACGTGTAGCTGTTTCCGGGTCGGATCGGGCATTGGGTTGCATACTCCGGCCCATCAGCCCACCCACTCAGCATTTGAAATACCCCATGCCTGAAAATAACATATTAATCGTTGCAACAATTAACAAATATTTCAGTAAATAATTATTGAATTGTTCAGTGAAATATATATGTCTTGTGGAATAATTTTATTTATTTTCTAATATGATTGTAATACATGTAAAATTTAAATTAAAGAAAATAATATAATTTGTGTAATTTACCAATGGATAGTTATATTGTAAGGCGAATTGTTGATAACATTGACCACGAGCGTATCCCCCTCACAGACTTCAATATTTGGCCCCGGAAAACTGTCATTCACCGCAGTAATAACTTGGTTTTTACAAAGCGGATTCACCGTAAAATTTTTCACCTGAAAGTACATAATTAATTAGCACTTAATTAGTTTCATAATACTACTAATACTAACTATAATAATAATAATATGAAAACTTACATTAAACGTGTGGTTTATAGTGGCTGCTGATACAATTGATAATAAACACAAAAGAGTAAAAGACGACGCCAAACAGACCATTACACATCGGCCTGGCATATTTTATTAATGTGATGATAAATAATTATATATAATTAAATGAAATTCTCAAAGTATAAAAGAATATTGAATGAAGGATATGCAGAATGAAGATAACAATCCCTTATTTATACCATATGTGGCTGCATGCACGGCCTTTTATTAAATAATAAAAAATTTAATTTTTTTATTTAATGAATAAAAATATTCTCTAGCTAGTACGCGTTTGGACTAACTGTCGTGAAAGATTTGCACCCCAATCTTCAATGGAGATATGAGAATTAGGTGAAGCGAACAAGAACTTTCTTAACCTAACAACGTTGATTCGTTTATCACATCTTCTGAACAAAAATTCATACGTACGAAAAACGATCGTTTTGCACCTGAATTTGTGTGAACTTTTTTGCTTAATTGATGTGTTTTGACCCGATCTTGATTGATTTTTATTTACTTTTTTTTCTTTTACGTGTGCATGTAAAAATGGAGATGAAATTTTCCTAATACGCGGAGCATGAAAAAGCTAGGATTTTGACAAAAATTGATGTGAATATGTGATATTTTAATTAGTGCCTTGGTGTTTTCAATTAAATATACGACCTTTTAATTTCAAATTTCAATCATATAGCATCTAAGACCAGGAAATTAAGAGCTCAACTTAACAACCTTTGAACTTTTGGGGTTGATATTAGATACAACTAACCGTGTCCCACGCCGTGATCAACTAAAAAAAAATGTACCCAAAAATCAACATTTAAATATCTTTAAATTTAAAGAGCATGAGAAGAAATCGTCAAGTGTATTAAAGTAGATAGTTGATGGTATTAACGAGATTTTAATAGTTGATTTGACTAATTGTATTAGCGGTTTGTTAGCAGTTTGTATTGTATATTTGGAAATCTTATGTTGTCGTGTTATTTTATGAATGACAAAATTTAAAAAATAGTCCACTATGTTGGTTATTTTTTGAAGGCTTAATTGCTAATAAATCCATGACTTTTTTGAAAATTACAATTATATGCACCACTTTTAAACTTGCCAATATATACACCACTTTTATAATTTTTGGCAATTGCATGCACCGGGCCCAGTTTCGGGCTTTGACTGCTGACATGGCTGCTGAGTTTAAAAATGATGCATATAATTGCAATTTACGAAAAGATCATGGTTTTATTAGCAATTAAGCCTATAAAATATTTATTTAATTTTATTTTACTATTTCTTTATTATATTTTTTATCTTATATTATATTATCTTTGTTGACAACCGATTCGGTCCGGGCCGGATCGGATACTCAGCCCCTCCGGATCGAAACAAGAACCCGGTCTGATACCAAAGTGCCGAGGTGGACCGCGGATTAGAGGGGCGGGAAACCGCCCTGGAAACAGATTCTCAGCCCGGTGCCAGGCTCAGACCGGGTAGCCGCCGACCTGGAAGGGTGCCGTACAGGAATGAGACTATTCGTAGTCTCCTGAGCATCTACGAACGAAGTGCCGACCTGAAAGTATGAGGAGGCCCGCCAGGGACGACGCACGGGCCTCAATGAATATTAAAATATTCCCACTTGGGAGGCCATCATTGGACGATGGGACAGGTAATCATGGCCTAGCCCCCTACCAGCCAGCCTAAGTCAGCAAAGCCATCCAACATTAAATGCCCCCCATGCTGGCATTTAATGCCCGTCAGGCAATGATTGAAGAAACCTCAAATCGCATTAAATAACCGTCAGACGGACGCCGAACTGCCCTGCCGAATTACTGTGCGACAAGACCAGTGAACAGTAGCTGAATAGTGCCACATTAAAGACCACTATAAATAGCAGCTCACCTCATTTATTTTAGGTTGTTGAAATTCAACTAACTCTGCCTTCTCTCTATTTTCTCTCTCTACAAACTGTAAGAAACCCCTTGTAAGAATTGTAAGTATATCGCAAGTGCCGACCTCGTACGAGAGGCCGACCTCGTGATCGTCTAATAAAATCGTAATTAAATCGAATTATTCTCCCCTTTTTCAGTCTTGCTTTCAATACCCTTTATTTTTAACCGTTGACCGAAAACGCTCGTCAACAGTTTGGCGCTAGAAGGAGGGCACCATAAGTTACTTGGTGTCAATTGTTCGACCTTGTGAAATCCCGTATTCACTCACTTCCATCCACTTAAAATCTCGTCTGAGATGGCCTCATCCAGCAACAACGAGTCAACCCAGCAGTCCGGCGCTCAGCCCCGCCGACGCAACGGCGAAGAAACTTCTCGCCGCAACCAGCAAGGGACCCAAGTCCCCGTTCCTCCTGTTCCTACCTTTGCTGCTGCCATACAGCACCCCGACGTACTCAAAGCCCTGGAGGGGGTCTTCGCCAGGGCCCTAGCGAGCCAGGCACCCGGGGGAAACACTGTGGCGGCCACAGAAAATCCCGTCAACACCTTGCTCCAAACCCCCGACAAGGAGGCCGGGGGACAGCAGAAAAAACCCGCCAAATCCAAGACGACGGCTCAATCACCCAACCGCTCCGCTCAGGTCAGGCGCGAGAAAAACGCCAGACCGGCGCCGACGGAGCAGACGGGCGAAAGCCAGCCAGACCGGAGCCTCCAGGTCATACGGCGCTCCGTGTACCAGCGCCTTGGGGACAAAACCCAGGCCAACCGCGACCTCCGGGACGTGATTGAGCGGGGCAAGAACATCGGGCGTGACGCGGACGAAGTCGCGGCCCTTAAGCGCAGAATTGCCGAATTGGAAGGTCGGCGCTCTCCCCCAAGGGGCACATCGCCTCCTCACTACTCACAACCCGCGCCACGCGTCGTGGACCACGCCTCCCCTCTCTCTCCCGACATCTTGCGCGAGCCGGTACCCCAGAAGATCAAGGTGCCGCAGCTCGGACTTTACGATGGGAACTCGGATCCCGACTCCCACATCGGCCTTTACACCTCATGGATGGACCTGCACGGCGCGACGGACGCCTTACGCTGTCGCATGTTTTCCTTGACCCTGGGACCAAAGGCGCAGAGGTGGTACCATTCTTTGTATCCACACTCCATCTGCACTTGGGGCCAGCTCAAGTCGGCTTTCCGATCGCACTTCATTGGATCGCAGATCAGCCTGGCCCCCAAGGAATCAATCGCCAACATCGTCCAAGGTGAGGACGAGAGCCTGAAGGATTATATCACTCGGTTTAACGACCGAGTCCAGAACATGGAACAGTGCCACCCCGAGACCCTGCTCGTCTCCGTGCAGGCCGAGCTGAAGCCAAAAACCTTGTTTAAGTGGTCCCTGTGCCAAAACAAGCCAGCCACCTACCAGGAGTTCCTCGCCAAAGCCCAAAATTATATAATGGCTGAGGAATCCTCGTCCATCCCGGTGCTGGACGCCACGTCGAGCAAGGACAAGAATAAAAAAAAGTCAGGGAAGCCCGGCAAGACGTTTGCCGAGGTGCGGGCCATGAGGAAGCAAAGAGCGGAAGAGCTCAAAGAAAGCTACCAGGGCGTCTTCTCCGTGGGCGCCGCCGCGGTCTACGAAGAAATCAAAACAAAGGGTTTGCTACCGGATCCAAAGCCCATGTTCACCGATAAAGACAAGGTGGACAAGTCCCGATATTGCGCCTACCACAAGGCACACGGACATAATACAGATCAGTGCCGAAATTTGATCGCGGCGCTGCTCAAGTTGATAGACGACCCGCAAGTCAAAAAGTTCACTCGCCCCGGCGAGAAAAGGAAGAAAGGAGGCAGCTTCGGAGACGGCCTCGATAGTGATGAAGATGCCGACGTGAACCCCCGAAGGAAAAAGCCGCAGCAGGGCGCACCCAACGAAATCCTAACGTTCAGCCCGGCCCACCAAGGCGAGCCCGGCACCTCCGCAAGAAGAAAGAGAGATCGGTACCCGCGACCAGGCACTGACCAGACTGATTTTTCACCCCGGCGCGTGAACACGAGCCGGGGTGAATCCCTCATTTCGAGGAGGCAGACAAAGGCCTACGCCCGACAGGCTTATACGCCGGGCAGAGGGTGATGCACGCCGAAAGCAGGCCGGCGGCCGAGCCGACGCCCAACAAAATATCCTTCACGGATGAGGATGCGTTCCTATTCGACCATCCCCACTCGGACGCCCTGGTGATCACGGCCCCGATAATGGCGATCAAGATCCATCGAATAATGGTCGACACCGGGGCCTATGCGAGCATCTTATACTATAGCACGTTCAAGAAAATGGGGATTGACAGGAAGGAAGTGCAACCTTGCCGAGAGCGGATCCAGGGGTTCAATGGCCACATGACAACCCCTGTTGGGCATGTAACACTGCCGATCAAGTTCGGTGAGGAGGGGCAGCCCACGAGAACAATTCTGGAGACTTTCAAGATAGTGGACTGCCCGAGCGAATACAATGCCATCCTCGGCAGAACGGCCCTTTACAAGCTGAGAGGAGCCGTCTCAATTTTCCATTACTCCATCAAGTTCCCGACCTCAGACTGGGAGGGGACTCATCGGGGAGACCAGAGAGAGGCGCGGGAATGCGTCCTGACTATCCCCCGAGCAGAAATCAACGCGGCGAACTCCACCCCCGAAGCCGGGACGAACATGGCCGTGACCCGCGAAGAGGAAGAGGGCAGCCGCGTGCTGGGAAACCAGACAGGTTCGCCCCCGATCATACCCGGTGCCGGGCAGATTGTTGGAAGCACCGAGGTGGAAGGAGAAGCAGATGACGAGGTGGTTCACCCCGGCATGGGAAGCGACCGCATGCTGGAAATCCAGACAGGTCCGCTCCCTCAGGCCAGGACGAACGCCGAGCAGGAACAAGGTACCGAGCCCGACCTGGACCAGGATAGGGGTCGAAGAGCGGGAAAGGAACCGGCGACGGAAGAG